ATCATAAAAACAAAAAGTTTTTTGAGAACGTCTGTTTTTTGGGTTGGCAAAAGGATCAGCGGAAAGAGTTTTTTAGTGGTGGCATTACTCTAGAATATTTCCTATTTTATTTACTTATTTTTATTATTATATCTTTACCAGAGTATTTGTTTCTATACTAATACATACAGATAACTGTTCTGATAAATATAATACTTTTTTTATATCTTTATTATTTCTTATGATATATATTTATTATATATGAAAATAATATAACTCAAACATGTATATAAAGGCTCCAATTTCATTTAGGAATTGGCAGGTTTGAACATATATTTTATCAAATAAATAACTTGACCTTTACAATACAAATTACTATTGCCTCTTTCGCTTGATCTCATATATTTTAGAACTGTACTAATATGTATGCCTTTAGGAATTTTAGCATATCACATTGGTTTCATCCATCTAAAATATCTTCCTGTTATTAGTTTTTCGTCTTTATTTTTATTCTGAAATAGAAACAATATATGACAATAGACAAGCTAGCATTAAACTTATTGTATTCACTTATAAAAAATATTGTTTCTTTTATAATATATACCTTTAATATATAAATCAAATAAAAAAATAATGTTTACCTACTAAAAAATAAAAAAATAAAAAAATAAATATATTTATTTGTATTTAATATTTTAAAATAATAATAATTAAATCAAAGATTAGTTTAGAAATTTTATTTATTAATATAAACTAGAGTTTTTAATAATATTATTTTGATATCAAGTCAGTACTGAATTTATTATAAGTTTAATATAGTGGATTACAACTCATATATTAACTTTATTGTAAGTTAGTACCAAGTTGATACTATTTTGGTACTTGATTAAAAATCTTAATATAAACCTTTTTTATTTTTTAGAATTATAAAATGATATTGAAGTGATGATTTAAATATAAATTTGTTTTAATTTCTTAAAATTATAATTATAATATTTAATTTTTAAATATATATATATATATATATTTATAATTATGTATATCCAAAGAATTAGGATTTAAAAAATTTAAAATAGTTAATATTATAATAAAATAATTGATAAATAATTAAATCATATAAATAATATGATAATCTTAATATTAAAAATTTAAGAATTATATATAAATCTATAAATAATTTATTAATAGATATTCTACTATTTAAAAATAATTTAGCTTTAATATAAATTTCAATATATCAAATTCTGTACTATTGTTTTTTATATACAAAATTAATAAATATATTAATATACAGTTTGATTAAATAAAAAAAAAACAATTATTTATAATTTAATTTTTTTATAATTCTATTTTATTTTTTATAATTTTGAATAAATATTTATAATTGTTTAATATTACTTGATAAAATATATTATTTTTAACTTTTTTTAATATTGGTTATAATTATTATAGAAGAACTATTGTTTAACTTATTGTATTAATATATAAGAAGTATATATTTTTTATAATAAATATCTTGCAATATACAAATCAAACAAATAAACAAATAATATTTTTTTTTAAAAAATCTATTTATATTTATTCAAAATAAAATAATTATTAAAGAAATATAGGTTTTTTTGAACTAAATAATTTTTTTTCTTATATAAATTTTTTGTAAAATATATTTAGTAAATAATTAAATAACATATATAACAATAGATTTTTGTATTTGATATTTATTAAATTAATATAGATTATAAGAAATATTTTACTTATTATTAAAAAAACATGAATTTTAATTTTTGCATAATTATTATTCTTAAATTTCAAATAGAATTAATTAAGTTAAGTTAAGAATATTTTATAAATTTTCAAGTTTTTTTTTAATTGAATAGCAATTTTTGCATGTTAATTAAATTATTATATAATTATGAATTAATAGATATTGTTTGGCTGAAAAATGGCAAATCAGTTATTTCACCAGTCCAAAGTTTGCATAACTAAAGGTAAGTTGAGGCATGTAAAATTGATTTGACCAATGAATTCACTTATTTACAAGCTTTCTCTTCTTTTCCAGCACCAGTTCTTCTCTTGATATTCCAGGCCACATCCTCTTATAGTAGTGATTATCCTTCCCTAAATGGTATGTACTTAAAAAGGTAGGTTTATTAATTAAACTATTTCTTTATGGTGATTCAATTTTATTAATCTCTTCTATGATTACTCTCTATTTCTCTATTCTTGTTTATTTCTATTATTAGTTTTTACAATGGCATTACTATTTATATAATTGATACTACTAGAAAAACAATTAAGAGAAAATAGACTATTGGAGCTATAATAAACTATTGGGTAACTTATCTAAGCTTTTATGACTACATTTTCAGGATACGCGACGTGGCGATCATGGTACACGAATATACCACGTGACTTTTACCGGGCTAACAATGTATAAAAATATTTGTAAATTGTTGAGAATTTATTTTTTATAAAGAAAGTAATAATAAAAAAATGGATTTATTTTGCTAATAATAATTCAAGTGGATTGACTTAACTGTTTTTTTTTATTTCTTTGTTTTATGGAAATAAAATCAGAAAATCTACCTAAAAAATATATTTTTTTTTATAGTACAGAACTTCTGAAATAATTGTAAGCGCACCTACACAGGTGACGCACAAGTGCCGAAAGGGTGCCGCGCGAGTGGTGTACTGTATAAAGAACACCCCTCTGCGGCCGTAAATAGCAACTAAAATTCTACTCATTTATGTAGTAAAACCAAATTTATAAATTTATAATTTAACTAAGTCTTTCGAACGCGATCTTTCTTCATAATAGCATTAACTAATTATTACTGTATAACATTTGTGTGACTTTGAGAACCTACAAGGTCTTAATACTGTATCTAAAAAAAAACAATGGACATTTGCACCGCGTCTATCAGTGTATTCTAAACTGATGTCACGTGATTTATTCCAAAAAGTTATTTCGTCTATTTCTTAAAGGAACTAGCTTCTCTCCGGCAAAGGTTAAGAAAAGATTGTTCCTTCTTATCAGTCATATCAAAAACTCATACAAACGAAGGTAGCTTCTCACTTTCTGTCGTACGTCACACGTAATCTTGGTTCTTTCAGAATGCTTCTCCATGTGAATTTGGAATAACAATTTAACGATTTTGCAAAAATTCCATTCTTGTTTTAAAAAATATAAATGTTCATAGTTATCATTTGAGAAAATTTTGTATTTACTCTAATCACACTTGCAAAATCCTTTATAATGCCGTTCTTAAAATCCTTAAAATCTATCTTTCTTTGTTTTATATGCAATAAATATGTTACAAATGAACCAGAAATTCGACATGATTTGATAAACTCTGTTTGGGAAGAGTGTTCTTTTAAAACAAGATTATATAATAATCTCGGAGAAGGGTCTCTTGAGGAATGGCGTGAAACTCAAATGAGATTTGCCAAAGAAAATACGACCCTAACTCCAATAGAAACGCAATATCTCATTAATGAGATTGTCAAGGCTAGAGAAGCCGTCGATGCAAGGAATAAACGGGGCGAAGAATCCTTTTGCCCTATTTGCAAGCTTCCAAAACATTCGAGTAGATATTGTGAACATTGCATGCGTGTAAAATTAAAAAAGGAAGTATGGACATCAGGAAATCCTAAAATCGATGCCTTTCTTCGAAAACATCAAGATGAAAGCCCTGTACCATATTGCATTATCGAGTGGATTGAATTCCGTGATTTAAAAAATGTTGAATTTCTAGCAGAAGGCGGGTACGGAAAAGTATACAGTGCAACATGGACTCGTGGTTGGATTATTGACTGGGACATGAAAGAGAATAATTTTATAAGAGAACCCAGAAACGTGGCACTTAAAATCTTTAATAATAATAATTTCTCTAAAAATGAAATCTTTCAAGAAGTAAGTTATTAATTTATAATACAGTATGTACTATTATAATATATTGCTGAATATCTATTTCCCAATCGACAGGCAAACTGGAATCAAATATTCACTAGAGATCGAACTGTCAGAAATTTTGTTGTTTTGGGTTTAGGTTTTACAAAGAATGAAGAAGGTGAATATATGATTGTTTTCGATTTCTGTGAAGGAGGTGATTTACGAGCTTATCTTCAAAAGCATTACAAAAACATGAGTTGGAAGGATAAAATTGGGTTGGCCTGGAATATCTCCGTCGATTTATATAGAATTTCGGAGACAGGATCAATCCACGGTGATTTACATCCAGGTAATATACTTTTACTGAGGAATGGGGGCAGTTGGGTTATCTCTGACCTTGGAACGTGTGAGTCTGTAGATGCACAAAAAGAACAAATGGAAGTTAAAGGTGTACCTCCCTACATAGCACCCGAACTTTTGGAAGGTTATCGCAAAACAAAAGAATCTGACATATATGCTTTCGGAATTATTATGTGGGAAATAAGTGCTGGATGTGCACCTCTCGGTGATCGATCTATTGATCGTGTACGCATTTCACTCGGCCTTCGGCCTCCCATAGTTCCCGGAACACCAAAGATATATGCTGATTTAATGCAAAACTGTTGGGCAGCGAATCCCCGTGATCGTATTTCCGCAAAGGACGCAGCGAAAACTCTTCAAGTACTAATGAGAAATATGATGGAGAATAATTTTGTGGACGAATATCCGGTTGAGGAAAATCAGTCATGTAAATCACAAGAATCAGATTCTAGCACTCATCGAACTAGTAAGGTGTTCCGTCGGCAACTAAATGCAGTTTTGGACACATAAACCCTATGAAATTTATCAGTAGTATTTTTGTTTTGTTTTATTATTTATTATTTATTATTTTTATTATTTTTCTATTTTTTATTTATTTTATTTATCTTTTGTTATTTTGATTTTTTTTCTTGTTTTAGTTATTTTTTTATTTCCTTGCTCCTAGGCAAATTGTATTAAATAAATAAATAAAATATATGAATAAACAAAAAAAAAAAAGTTCAAATAACAGGAATCTAATAAAAAAATCCATCTATTATATGTTATTTGTATAAGAAATTATTTATTTTCTCTCAATCAAATCAGAGTCATTTATTTATTAATCAGAATAAATTAATACAATAATGATTGCTTGTATAAATCTTCTTAATTCAGCTCATCCCTATATAACATTGAGTCTAAATGCAATTTATAATTTTATGGCTTTGGAAAAGCAAAATAAGAATTATACTAATTTTGATTTGTAGTGAACAGTGTATTTTTATAAAATAAAAGTAAAATAAAAACAGAATAAAATAAAATAAAATAATCAAAAAAATATTAAAGAAAATATTAAAAGAAATCCATAGAAAATGAAAATTCACAATTTAATATATTAAAACTTTTAGTTCTTTACTTGATAGACTTTAAAATTATTGATAAAATAATTTTCAATTTTTAATAATTAAATTTATTCAATGTATGTTTTGTTTCAAATGATATTAAATAAATTAATATAAACAATTGAATATTATTGCTTTAAAAAATATATATATATATATATTATAACAATAATTTTACTAAAAAAAGTTAAAAAAAACTGGACAGAAAACAAAAAACTCAAAAAAAAATAATGCTATTTATTGAAATTATTGTTGAATTGTATATAAAAAAAACTTAAAAAATGTAATATAGTATTAAGTAAATTATATATAAATATAATTTTTATATAAAAAATTATTTTTTTATTTGTCTTATCTATTTCAAGTTATTGTTCAATACTGTTGTCAGTTATTAGATTTCTTAAAGTAAATTGTTACTAAAACTTTAAAAATCAATCTGAATTTTAATAATCTTACTGACAAAGAAGTCTTTACATTAGCTATAGTATTATCATTTTGAATATTCATTAGCCATTCAATACCTTTAGTATATAAACACCTACTTGGTGCCAATGTATATTAATTGTAAAGTTGCAATAGGCTACAATTACTTTAATTTTTATGTATTTTAAAGATTGTTAATATAATGATAATAAACTAATATTTAATAAATGTTTTATATTTAATACCTGTTTATAATTAAAAAAAAGAAAAAGTCAATCTGAATTTTAAAATCCTATTGCTCTAAATTAATTCTTCAGTTTATATTCTTTTTTTTAGAATATATTTTGTTAGATAAAGTTTTTTAAAAGAGATAACTTTAAAAAAAATTTTTTTATAAATAAAAATATGAAAAAAAGTTTTTTTTTTTTAATAAATAAATGTTTTTATATTAATAGTTTATAATATATTAAATAAGTTTTTATTTAATTTTATTAAAATTTTTAAGTTTTTTTATAAATATAAATTAAATTTTATTAGTAAACTTTTTTAATATAAAATATATAAAAACATAGTTTTTGGTTTTAAATCTATTATAGCTAAAACTTATATTATAAGTTTGTTTAATATTAGTAGCTTATTATAAATTAATTAAATTAATTATTTTTTTTTTATTTTTTAAAAAATATACTTAAATTTTTTATTTTGAGATTATTTTAAAATTAGTTTTAAAAATTTTTTTCTTGTTAATTAATTTAGTAGTCAAGTAAATATTATATTTGTTTTATTTTAATTTATTTTTATTTATTTATTTATTTTTTTTTCCCTCAATCAGGTTATTGTCATTTATTTATTAAATCAAAAAGAACCATTACAAATATAAATTGTATATATAAATTTCCTCGACCCAACTTACCCATTTGTAACAAAGAGTCTCTAGATACGATTTATAGGGATGATATATTGCTCGTCCATTAATTGAAATTAAAATTCCATTTGTTTAATAGAGTTAAAGCCTGCAGATCATTTCTACAGATCATATGCCATAAACCCAAATTGAGTTCTTATTTAAGCACTAACCATTTTTTCCCACTTTCTATGAACTCCTATATTAGTTCTCTGACCTTGTCTAGTCTATTTATATACTCTTCCATCTTG